TACCGCATCAATTAAGACCCAAGCGGTGGCTACAGAAGTGAACGATTATCACGCACATGCGGATGACCACAAGGAACTATAAATACCGTGCAGCCTTTGCATGTCCCCAACCCATCTGCGCATGACCATGACCATGGATCATCACCTATGATTAAGGATTCCCGAGGGAATCCGAAACGTCAGGCAAATTGAACTCTTGTTCCAGTGATCGCATAATTGTTGTTGGTGATTTAGCGGTTCACAAAACAGTAATTCATCCAACTGTAAACATTCGGTTGAAAATGCAGACTTCAGGAAGCGGGGATAACAGGAAATGCCGGTTGGTAGCCACCGTCTCTTTTGGATTTATTCTACATTTGGCGAGCCAGTATGAGTCCTGACTATCAGCTAAAACCAAAAACCGAAAATGGATATAGAACACGGCACAGATTGAGTCTAGCAGATGGGTCATAATTACTTCATCAAAGTTCATCATTGCTTCGCTCCTCTGTACACTTCTGATATGGCTCTCTGACCTTTGAAACCTTTGTTACCCATAGGGTGCTTCTATGCGGCTCATGTTCACTCCTTCCTTGGTATATAAATCCTTGCGATGAAGCTTTCGCGTGTAGTGTCAAGGGAGCTTAATTAGATTCGTCAAAAGCATTCCATGGTGATTAGTCACTTTTGACCTGCAGAAGAATTAACTTGGCTGGTTTATAATTTGCGGATTCTGTTACAGGCATTATTCATTTGTGGTTCCAAGGCCCGAGTCTTGCATCGGAGGCCACGTCGAACAAAGCCGTTGACCAATAATACGGTTGCTATTGCAGCCGGAAAATTGAATCGAATTCTCCGCAAATAGTACAGGATTGTCTGCTGTCATCTATGATACCGCTGTGCACACTATATTCTGGTAGGAACAAAACAATTGAAGCCTTGACGCAGCAGCTAGTTGCTTTCATTGTGAGGAAAAGTAACTTTTTTGGCACACCGCTCTTTAACCAAATAAACCTACTTTCAAGTCAAAAATTATGAAAGGTATGCGTCTGACTCATACCAACTGTACTATCTATTGCACTTGCACTTTATAATAATCGCCCCCCACCCCTGACTGAAATTTAAAACATCATCTACTTTGTTGAGCTTGGCAAAGAGCCTTCACCAAGCAAAAACAGCTTACCTGTTGGTCAATAGGGCTGACAAGACGAAAGCTTTAGTTTCTAAGTTAAGTAAGAAGTTTACACAGTAACTAGAAAAGTCTTGAAAATCATTGAATATAAACTGACAGGACACGGAAATAGAGTTACCCAGCTTTCGTAGTTCTAAACTCTAGGGCGAAACTGACTACTCACAGGACCGGAAGAGGTAACACGTAAAGATATCGGAATGAAAAAGAAATCAGTGAGACAACCGCAGTCAGTTCAGATTGGCTCCCCGACGCAGGTATAGTGAAAGTTGAAGTAAGAGATGACATGGCGTGATGCCATCTATTTTGTAGACCTGTTTGATTTCACAACTAGCGGCTCGCATAGGTATTGTTTTGTCGAGGCAGATCCAAGGCTAACACAAGAACCCCTTTGTGCGCATAGGACAACAAACCTTATATGCATGGTTACTGTTTCCCCTTATATGACTACGCATCAGCGCAGTATTTACTGTTCAAAGTGACCTGCTGGTCAGATCTCGAAAGCTTTCTTCTGAAAAAATAACTGAGAGTTCGCCTATTAGTTTACGTTATCAATCAATGAACTTTCGTCAGCGAGTTTCAATATCCCCGATCGAAACCGACAACTCAACAAGACCGAGCCTCAACGTTAGCAGACATGCCCAAAGTAGCCACTTCAATTTCCCTTGCTTTTGCTTACAATATTCGTCTACTTATAGCCGCTGTGCAAGTATTGCCTAGGCTCAGTTGTGAGCTCCGCAGGCACGTCATTTGATGCGATTGGTATGCGCCCAACTACCACCCTTGTTGAGTTCTCTCTGCTCATTATGCTAACGATTAATTTTTTGCTTATCAGTAAGAGTTTGCGTGGCTAAAGTTGGAGTCGCATACACACCGTTTATATATGTATCTTAGCAGACGCACATAGTTGTGTCAACTGCGGAGACTTTAGCACCAACCCTTTTGATCAAAACTGAATCACCAAGATTGTGAACCATGTTGGCAAAAACGTCACTACCAGCTATTAAGCCATGTGGTTTGCCTAAATCTACGTTCACAAACAGAGGCTTACTTGGCCAAAGAAAAACACATGTAAAGAGCCAATACAAGGCTACGTACTCGGAGAAACGGGGGTTCCTGGCTAACAAGAAGACGAAGAAGTGGATGCAATCGCAGGGGCGGGATTCCTTCTAGAACTAACTATCAGAATTAATTGACTAGCATAATAA